GCAAATGCAAGAAAAATGAAAAATTATGTAACTCAAAATGTCATGTTAGTTTGCCATGTTCTATATTTTTTCTCAACAAAAATTTTGATATATTTGTACATACAATTCTGATGTTAAGCTGAAATAGATTTTTCTTAGTCTCCTTATATTCATTAAATAATTCTAATATTAATAAAAGAAAAAACATGTTTTTGATTCATTTTATTAAAATTTGTTTAAATCCATAAGCTCCTTTTATTAAAACAACAAAAGGTGAAAAATTTCATGATATTTATGAAATTTAAGAACTACATTTTGGAAATTACACAAAAAATTGCTTTAAAAGTAATATATTCAGCAATATTTATGAAATATTGGGTGTATAAATATGACTCCGCCCTTTTTTCGGTAAATGTAAGACATTTGTTTGTTTATAAAATGAAAGAAAAATTTATTCAAAATATTTTCCATCAGAAAGTTACAACATTCGCCCATCTGTCAGGCAACAAACAGATTCCATGAAGGAAGAAGTCTGGTTGTTTTGAAGCAATCCAGTTATCAATTTTGAATAGCCTCATAAGATCTGAACTGCTTTCCTAAAAGGTCGCTCTGCATGGATCAAAACAAATAGTAATCTGAAGGAGCGACATCTGGAGAATATGGCAGGTGGGCAATTCATCCCAGCAAAGTTATTCTAGAGTTTCCTCCATTGATGTGGGCAAGCATTGTCATGTTGGAAGACAACCTTGTTGTGTCTTTTGGCATATTCTGGACGTTTTTGCTTCAATGCTTCATTCAATTTGATTAACTACTGTTTGTAACGTTCAGCATTGATTGTCTGACTCGGTTGCAACAGCTCATAGTACACAACACCCTTTTGGTCCCACCAGATACACAACATAACATTACTTCCGTGAACACACTATTTTGGCATTGATGGACCTGGGTCACCTGGACGCACGCATGCCTTTGGTCATTTAGGATTGTTGAAGTGTATCCGTTTTTCATTTCTAGCAACAATTCGGTGCAAAACGCCTTTTCTTTTTTGTCTTTGAAGCAATAATTCACATATAGATTTTTGACGTTAAATGTGTCTTTCTTTCAGTTCATATGGGACCAATTTCTTTGCTTTTGAATCATTCCCATTGCATGTAGACGTTGGGAAATACACGGTTGAGAAACATTTAAAGCAGCAGCCAGTTCCAATTGTGTTTGGCAAGGATCGTCGTCAAGTAATGTTTCCAATTCTTCATCTTAGAATTTTTTTGGTGGTTTTCCATGTTCTTTGTCGTGTGTATCAAAATCATTATTTTTAAACCATCGAAACCACTGTTTGCAAGTTGTATTGGATGGAGCACGTTCACCGTAAATTTCCAACAGCAAATGATATGTTTCTGCTACAGTTTTCTTTGAAATAAAATAATGAAGCAAGACTTCCCGCAAATACTGTTTTCCTGGCACAAAACTCAACATTTTTAATCAAATAAAAATAATTATTGTTTACACTTTAAACAGATGTCTCAGATTTATTTTTGAAGAATGCTGTCAAACCTTTCAAATAAAAGTGTTGACAGAATCAGTTGCATGCAAGCAGTACTACTAACGCCGTTTATTAAAAAAGGGCAGAGTCATATTTATTAGAGATGCCACGAATATTCGGCTACTATTCGGTATTCGGCCTATTCGGCTACTTTTTTTAATATTCGGTATTCGGCCAAATAGTATGCAACATTCGGCCGAATACCGAATACCAAATCATGAAAAAAAAACGCACATATTACTCAAAACGTATTTATTTTAATCATAAATTATTACATTTAATACTTAAAATATATCAGTGGTAAGTTGTAATGAATGAAAACAATTTTTTCAGCATTTGTTGATAGCAAACGATTGCGCTTTTCCTCATAAACTATACCTGCTTCTGAAAATAGCCTCTCACTATATACACTACTGCCGGGAGACGATAGATAAATCTTAGCAAATTCTGTCAGGCTTGGATACTGTTTTGCGTTTGCTGACCACCACTTGTAAAGGTCTGCCGTCCGATCTAGGCGAACAGTTTTCATATAAAGTGATACAGTGATATTTTTTAGTAATAATTAGTAACGCAATTTGATGTAACAATGAACAAATAATGCATGTTGTGACATGATCTACTCGCAAATAAAACAAATGTGCCCGCAGTGTCGCTACCGCACCCACCGCAATGTATCAGGTCGTAACATATCACCCGCGAAATGTACACATATTTTGCCGAACATTCGGCCGCCGAATATTCGGCGCTTCGGCCAAGAGCGTAGCTGAATGTTCGGTATTCAGCAAAATCACTATTCGTGGCATCACTAATATTTATACACCCAATATACCAACTTCATTTGGGAATTATGCAAAATCACTGGTAAAAGTGAGAAATTTAGTGAAATTTATCAAACTTGCCAAGATGATTGGTAATTATGCATAATCACTGGTTAATCACTTTTACCATATGATTCTTATTGTTTAAAATTCTTCAGTTTAATGCTAAATCAAGATTTGACTTTATATATTGATAGATTTAATTTAAATACTTACATGTATGTAGACACTCTGTAACAGTTGTAGCATCAATTAAATATCCTTTACAGATTTTGCACGTTATGTAAGGGTTTAGAGTCTTTAGGCGAATCCGCCTTTCCATCTGAAAAGTAAAATAAAAAGCATTGCTAAAATAATTTAAAGATTTTTTAAAATTTATTCTTTTTAATTTAACAATTCAACAATCTAAAACTCATTAAAAAGTATTTCCTTAATAGGAAATTTTAAAAATATTTATATTTCTTTGAAACATTGAATTACAGAAAATACAGAAATACAGTATATGTCTTGTGCACTTGTTTTTTTACAGCACACTCTCGTGGCCAATTTCTACAAAACTGGTCAGTGCCGATTGCTATCGCATGTGAACACTTCTTTTATTGAAACGAGTAATACTAATTGTTCTGTATGTGGTTGTAGCAATACTTATGCAAACTGCAGAAATGTTACACACAAAGTATCATTTTATAGATTTCCAAATCACAAGGGGAGTTGGGAAGATGATGAAAATGATCTCGTTTACACATAGAAAACGGTAAGTTTCATTTCTTTGTGTACGTTATTAGCTTAATAAACATTCTAAATATTTATGTTTACATTTATATACTTAATACATTTAACATTTTGTTAAATGTATTCTTTATATTTAATACAGTTTTCTATTATTTTGTTTATTATTCTATTTATTTTTTTATTACTCACTTATTACATATAATGCACTAATATATATATTTTTTAATTTTATAGTCTTGATGTGTCAGAGTAGCAACCAACTAAACATAGTAAAATTTGCAGTCGACATTTTATTGGAAATGCATGCAGTAACCAACAGAACCATCCAAGTTACAACCAAAGAATTTGGAACATTGAGAAAGAAAGCAATCAAAATTCACTTAACAAAAAACAACAGATACTTCAGATATACAAAACAAACTGCAAGGAAGACAAGTCCAAAAAGAAGTCCAATTGTTCAAGAAAAACACCAATAAAGAAATGCACATAATACTTGAGACTGAGCACAACCTAAGTTTGAATCATCAAGCTTCAATGATATATGTAAGCATGTAAATTATATAATGTAATTATATGTTAACCTTTTTATTTTTATTCTTAATTAGATTGCACATCAAACTAATGATCAGATGTTAAATTGTCAACTTATGTCATTTAAATGCTATTTTTTTGAAGATGAAAAAATCAACTCAAACAACACCTAAGAGTTGTTCATGTTCTATTAACACATCTGCTGGCAATAATTATAGAGCATGTGTATTTTTAGGATATTATACAGTTAAGAATGATTAAAAATCTTATCAGGAGTTAATGTCAGTTTATCCAAGAGTTTTTGTTTTGCTGCTCTCACTTTTGCCACAATCAAATCATCAAGACTCAGTAAGAAATGAGGACAAATTAGCTATATTCCTTATGAAATTAAAACTTGCTCTTTTGCTTCCCTCGAAAATTTATTTGGTTTGTACCGTGCAACCATCCAGCATAAACTTAAAGCAGTTTCGACTGACTTGTGTGTTGCAACAAAGAATTGAATTTTTGGCAAACTCGTACTGAAGTACAGACTACAATGCCTGAATGTTTCAAGAAAAATTATTCAAAATGTTAAGTTATTATTGATTGCATAGAAAATGCAAGTATTATTAGTTATGCTTCCTTTTGCTAATCCAAATCAATTACAATTCACAAAACATATAAAATTGCCAGTGTAAGAATGTGTTGAATGTGTGATACAAAGAATTAACTTATTTAATATAATAAATTCAAAAATTAATGTTGATTTAATTCCTTATATTGATGATATTGTTCATATTTGTAGTGTTTTAGTAAATCTACAGCTGACTGTTATTAAATCAGAATAAACCATTTATGTTATATTATTTAATAGTTTTAATTTCTTAATGAAGATAATAAATATTCAAAATAAAATCTTTCTAATACAGGAACATTACTACTTAAAAATTCATGATCAATTTTGATCAGTATTTTAATGTAATAGCAAGGTTGAGGCCGAAGTTTTAAATGTGAAAATGTGTACATTGGACATTCAACGCCACTTTCCTATAAGCCTAGAAGTTTGACAATGGTGTTTGGAATGTCGAGCATGATTCCATTGACTATCCAAACACCATTGTCAAACTTCTAGGCTTACAAGAAAGTGATGCTGAACATCTGACGTACACATTTTTGTGTTTAAAACTTCGGCCTCAACCTCACTATTGAATCTGAGAAAATACAAAAAAATAACAAAAATCACAACCTGATATATACATTCTAATTTGAATTTGTGTATAATACCAATGAGATATTTTATAAATTTACATTACTATTTTAAAATTTTAAATACTTGTTGTTTTTGATTAAAATTGACAAGTAATTTTTTTCCTTCTTGAAAACAGACACTTTATATCTACAATTATCACAGAATGATTATTAAAAATCCATACATCTAAAGATGAGGCCAACCAGGGTTGATCTTCCTTTATGATCAGTCCTGCTGTACAAATCTTTGTGTTAAGTAATTGTGCCAGTTGTTGTCAGGCTGTTTCTTCTATCTTAATTCCATACACTGTTGCAGCTGTAGAAACAACTTTATTTTTCAGTATTTCAAGTGCTAGAGCAGTTTTATCTCCAGTATAATGAATTATTTTGTGCACTTTTGTACTTGATAATTAGTAATTTTCTTCATTTATATCACTGTGGTGAAGAATTTTGATGTCGAGTGTCCAATGCCACATGCATTCTATCCAAAACTAATATATTATCAATGTAGAATTTCTGAATGTGAGGTTTAAGCCTTTCTAAATAATTAATCTTCAAAAATTTTTTTTGGTCTTTCAGGTACAGTACAAAGCAAGAAGTAATTTTCAGAGTTTAAAGAGTTAACTAGCAAACTCCCTTCAAAAATTGACGCAACTGCAACCACAACTAGAAACAAAATGCTTGTTCTACTCACGTTGATTGCAAACACGCATCTGATCTTTAAGTTCATAACAATTATAGCTGTTATTATGTGTAATTTTTTAAAAATTCTTCAATGTCTTCTTTTTCTATTTTCATCTCCACTTCTGTTATAAGATTTTCCACTACTTGATAATGTGAGATTCTGGACGGATCCAAATCCGTTATCAAATTCGCAAAAAATTTTTTTTAGATTTAGAATGCAAGATAAAATGGTTGTAGCTACACACAGATTTCGTTTATGTTAAAATGCGACACAAAGTCATAAATTGAGGAAAGAATGTAGTCCTAAGATCGACCATCTCCGGTTGGGAGATTGAATTTAGCTACGAGTTTGACTTCTCCTGCAATCCGAGTCAGGGTCCTGTTACTCTTAGTAACAAGGGAACAACCATTCGGAAAGCATAGATGAGCAGAATCAACCAATCGGAATGGCTGATCAAAAACAGAGATTAATATAATCTCCAATCAAAAAATGTAATTGGAATGTATGTAGAAAAAACTTAAAAAAAAAAAAAATAAAAATAATAATAATAATAATAAAGATAAACCATTCCAGGCCATTCAAACTGGCTGGAAATGTTAGAAAATGTAATTCAAACTGGCTGGAAATGTTAGAAAATGTAATTCAAACTGGCCAAAAACATTAGAAAAGTAAATAAAAAGGATGCTTTTTTAAAGTTTTTTATGTCGAGGTGTGAGTATTAGAAATAAACTTAAAGCACTGTAATATCTTTTTCAAACTGCCTTTTTTCTATACAGTAGGACAAATAACAGTCACAGCTTAAACTGAGAAACTTTTTATTCAACTGCTGAGCAGACAATCATCGACTTCGTTATACCTTCTTTCAAATCTTTAACTTCAAAACTCATACTTTTATTAATTTGATTTCTACCAGAAACTTGTGAAAATGGATTTTCTGTTCATTATAATAACCTCCGTGGGCAAAGAGCAATATCAAATCATTGTTTTAATACAAAGTTAAAAGATATCTACATGTCTTATCCTCGATTTGTAGCCATATTGTTTACATTTCACTAGCACTACCACAGAATGCGATGGCTAGTGGAAGAGAGAATAGAGTAAACTCCTGGTAGAATATGACTGTCTGGATCTTTGATATTTCTATGTAAATTATATATTATAGGGCTCCTTTTATATGCTAACATTATGTTGTTCTCAATTTCTCAGATGATCAGTGTTATAAGAAAACTCATAACACTGACTGAATTTTTTCCCCAACAGATTTATTTAAGTTTATCAGGTTCCACTCTATTTCTTATATATTTATCAAAATTTAAATTTTGTTGAATTCAGTAATCTTCTAAATGTATTACTTCTTGTGCAAAATAGCATATATTAATAGTAGCTATATATTAATTAAAAGAAGCTTTCAGTTTTTCCAACTTAGTTTGAGTAAATTGCTAGGGCTAAAAATACAGTTTAGGTATAAAATTAAAATTTGGTATAAAAGCTCTTACCCTGTAGATGATGAGACCGCTGAAGAGAAATTTTGAAAAGGTGCAATGGTTCAGGTGTGAATGGCAAAAATATAATGTTAAGTCTAATGGACAAATATGTCAGGTGATTGTAAAATCTCTTGCAACTGACACTTTGGAAACAGCAGATAGAGAATATAAAGAAACAAGTAAATTATTCTAAACAAAATGGAAAAATCATCTCATGACTCACAGCTAAACAGAACAACAAACTCTCAATAAGGCCTAAAGGAATTGCTAACAAATAGTAAATTAAGTGTGAATTAGTTTGCTTTAGAAATGACTGCTCCTTACAAAATAATTTTGAAATGAAAAGCAAGCATAAAATAAGTTTTTTAATACAGTAATACCTCGACTTACACGAACCCGGAGTTATGTGATTTTCAAATCTTGTTGATTTGTCTTTTGTTTGAGCACCATGCAACTCTTGATTACTCACTCGTCCCTCACACTATTGTTCAGCTTACATGTTTGGACGTGTTGTACAGAATTGACACATAGCTACAATTTATTTTTTGTTGTTTATTTCTGTGTTTGTTATATCTATGGAGACTTGAGAGACTATCTGGTGATTTCTTGTAATCATGAACGAATCAAAAGATGAGATAAGATTAACAAGAACATTTATTAGCT